ACATAATATAATATAATATAATAATATATAATATAATATAATATAATATAATATAATATAATATAATATAATATAATATAATATAATATAATATAATATAATATAATATAATATAATATGTGTCGGAACTAAAACCGGAAGTCGAAGGCCGGTCTGGGCTCAGGGTCCCGAAGAGGGCACTTCAGGTCTGCCCAAAGGCGGTCTCTAGATGTCATCTACACTACGGGTTTTCCCTCTCGCTATGGGTTTAGGGTTTAGGGTTTAGGGAGACATTCACGTTCTGGCGTCACAGTGATACAGTATGACCACCTGGCCAGCGTTTGCATGTCAAAGCCTGTTGCCTTCGCAAAGCTACCGCAGCCCTTTTCTCTTTCCGGGCACTCCCAGGAAATCCAAGGCACATCCTGCTCCCACAACAAACCTGTGCAGTGTTACTCCAGGGCTCATCAGGGGAGGACCCAAAAGCGGCCATTACCAGCCCTGCTCCTCGAACCTTGCACCATCTTGCACCTTTCCCACCTTGCTGGATCCAGTTTCACTGCCTACTGCTCTTCTGGCCGAGCAGAGCTTCCGAGTTGCTTTCACATACGGTGTTGTGACAAGTGGGAGCCTGTTGCAGTTCTGTTGCACTGCTGCAACTTCTCGTATGCGCTTTTGCTCTTGCGCAAGCAGCATAAGCATGTCGTATCTGAACAAAGTTCAGGCTGCCGGGTCCTCCAACCGAATGTCGACACGCCTCGTCCATCTCACCGGATGGGTGCATTGAGTAGAAGATCATGATGCGTCCACGCCTGTCTAGAGCAAAAAGTACTTCATGCAGTGAGATCGAAAGCTTGTAGCGTGGCCTGGGAAAAACGGATACTCCTTTAGAGCAGTCCGCGAAGTCATGCGGCTGTGGCCGCCCCCCAGCGCGTGGAAAATTTGTCTGCCCACCTCGCTAAGAGGCCATGTTCCGCAAGATGCATTTGTCTTTGCAACTGGCTCTAGTTGACGATTAGCTGGCACACAGCTCTGGCACAAAAGAGAAGTTCAATAACTATGTATAATAAGCATCGCCTTCCTCCACATCGGACAGGTAGAAAAACACCGTCGCTAATCCTTGGCAGTGCAGAACACTTCCCCAGCAGCGCTCTGAACAAGAAGCTGCAATCAAGTCGCTGTTGTATAGACCCTTCTTGATCATGTCCTGTATGTCTCTGTTGTTCTTGTACATGGCAGGGTCGAAGTAGTCATGGTGTGCCTCCATGCAGTTGCGAAGATGGCTCTCTTCTGACGGTTTCACGGGAGGATCTCTGTCTGCCATGGACAGCCCCATCAGCTTGGAACCGAATTCCACAGGACTCGCGCTGGAGCCCAAACAATAGAGTCCCCGAACGACGACTCTTGTGCCGGGGAGGAAACGATTCACAGCTCGACTTTCAAGACCGAAGCTCAGCACAACTTCCCGCTTCAGGGCACTACGGTTCTTAGCAGACAGCCAGCAAACATCTAACAACTCTCCTGTCTAATGTTCCGTCACATAACTTGCCTACGCAGGCAACAGCTGTTGACAATCTGCGGCCGGGTTGCAACATACTGCTCTCCTTCCCTTGCAGCCGGCACGGTGTGCTTCAAGGCTTCGACATGGTTGCTTGGATTTTGCAGCGGCTTATCTCGTTGCGAGCACGAGGATAAGGGCCTTCCAACTTCCAAACTCGCACAAGTGCTGCCCAGACTCTCATAGCGCAAGATCTGGGAGTACTCCTCTCTGCGCCGAGTGTAAGTAACTGAAAGCTGTGTGCTTGGCTCCGGCAATTTGCCATCTCTGTCTCTGTGTGTGTGTGTGCGCGTGCTTGCGTGTGTGCTGTCCCCGTTCATGGGCACAGGGCTCTTGATTTGCTTTTTGCAGGGGGCCAGGATCGGTGTGTGTCCTGGCCAATGAAGATTAGACACCACAGAGGCGCGAACGTACCTGCGGCGCTGGTTCCTCGCAGGGATAGCTTGGGCAGGATGATATCATCTTCACCTTCATCTCATCTGGTGCTGCATCGTTCCCAGCGTCTGATGTAGTGGGGCAGAAACCTCACCGCATCGCCTCGTTTGTTTGTAATGCGATTCTTTTTCTGGCATACGTGCTGCACGCACCAAAATAATGTCAATCTCATTCTCGTGACCATCAACATCATCATCATCATCCTCATCATCCTCATAATCGTCATCCTCATCCTTATCCTCATCCACATCATCACTTTGACTTTTGCAGATCAGCACAATCACCGCCAATTTATCAACTTGCAAGTGTGTGTGTGTGTGTGGCTCTGGCACCATATGCGGCTACGACATGTTTAAAACCCTACCGCCAGAGTTTATGTTTCGTAAGCGTGCATTTGTCGTCGTCCGCTTAGAATTTAGAGGATGTTTCAACTCCAAAGTGCTCGATCAAGTTGCTGAGTTCCCTCGCGCCGGAAGGATTGGATTTGCAGCATCTTTGAACCAGTGTAGGCCTATGATGGCTTATGTATGCCCATAAAAGGGTGAGCGGTAATCTCCGACCCAATACTCGGAACCCTGAGCGTGGCTACGCTATCGAAACCTGCGACAGCTACTGGATCGTCGCCTTGACGGTCACAGCGCATGCGTTGAGCTGTCCTGATGTGATTTCTTTACCAGCGTCAGAGCACTCACGCGATCGTCCAGGCGGTGCAGCGTGTCGTCCTTTGAACTCATGAAGTGACAGTGACAGTCCGAGCCCTCTGTGATAAACGAGACTGCTTATGCCTTGTGTTTTCGTAGCTATCAGTAATGTGCCGGCCCGTTTAATACACTGGGCTTCTTGAATGTGTTTTTTTCTTATTCAGGCCGGGACCAAAAATTCGGGCGGCCTAGTTAATGCGTTTTTTTGGGCCTGGCGATTCTTGGGATGTGTTGTTTCCTTCTAGTAATGATCAATCTCAAAGCAGCCAGGACCTACAACCCCCCTCCAAACCCTAAAACCCTGGCCCTGAAGCCCGACAGTCTCCCTAAACCCGAAACGGCCCTTAGGCCTAAAGCCTAAATCCCCCTTGAGCCTCATCTCAACCTCCCTTTATGAAGCCTGAACCTTAGACCCACCGAACCCTACTGCCTAAAACCCTCCTCCAAACCCTGAAACCCTGGCCCTGAAAACTGAAGTCCGAAACTCTCCCTAAACCCGAAACCGCCCTGAAGCCTAAAGCTTAACACCCCCCTCCAAACCCTGACACCCTGGCCCGAAACTCTCCCCAGTTAGACCCGAAACCGCCCTTCATGAAGCCTAAAGCCTAAATCCCTCTCGAGCCTAATCTCAACCCCCCTTAAACCTAAACCCTGGACCTTAATTACTTTCTTGAGTATTGCGACGCTTTCTAAGGGGTTTAGGGGGGGCTCAGGCTCGGGTTCTAGGTGGGATTTACCTAAGGTTTGAGTTTTTTTGGGGATCCAACTCCCTTCTAGCTTAGTCAAAGCCACCCAGACCCCAAGCCAGGCCACAAACCCTGAAATCCCCCAATTCCTTAGTCAAAGCCACCCAGGCCCAAGCCAACCCAAGAGCCCGCAGTCTATTGAACCTGGGTCCAGGGGGTCATGGATCCCAGAATATTCAAGCCAAAACATTTTCGTTGGGGGGGGGGGGGGGGGNNGGGGGGGGGGGGGCTATCAATCGGGCCGCGACATTACTGTGTTTACCACACGAAGGTTGGACCCATGCCGCAGACACAAGCTCGTGTTTCTCTTTGTGTTCTCGGCACTCGTACAACAATCGGTTGAACCATCGGCAGCGGCCTACACATGACGCACCCATGAGGACCACTGCAGACCTACTGCAGGGCCATGCTCGTGTTCTCTGCTTGCGTCAAGCATCATCTGATCGCATGAAGTAGGTGCTGCTGGTTCGCCAGTTAGCATCCGGCTTGCCAACATCCTCAGCAGCACAGCAACCATCCACTTTGATGTCCTGTGCTCCGCAGAAGGCACAAATCTAAGTAAATGCGGCGCTGCCAGCAGCTGTCCTTTTGGCAGCGATGGGGGAACCAAGTCATGCCGCCAAGCCTCGTGATCCATGTGCTTCACCGAAGACTTTTCGACATGCGGCAGCGCCTTGCGAAATCATGCCGCGCATATCTATAGAGCTTATGAATTAGACGCCCGGCAGTCCACGATACCACCTATAAGTCCTGGCCTTGTCAATAACATGCTGGCAGTCGGCATCGTTCAGGAACGACGATATTTCGAGCACCAGAGGTTGCAAGCTTCCTGGGGTCTTTTTTGGTAGGGACAACTCCCCCGCCGCGGCAGCGCCACGGTGACACCAAGCACCGTTAGTGTGCCATATCGCAGCACTTGTAACAAGACCTTTGGCAACGCTGTTGCTTTCTGTCTTTGCCAAGCTGCGTGTCTCTATCTCCAGACTGAGCGGCTCTGATTTCTTGGGCCTGCATGTTTCATGTTTCGAGCGCTCACAAGTGCTCCATGTGCGAGGCAATGCAGATAGGCTGACATCTCGAGGGCCCTTTGCAGTAACCATCAGGAAGGGCCAAGCTCTTGGCTCGATGGTCACATTGCGCCGGAAACCAACTTCTACACCTGCGCAAGTCCAAGCACTGCTCAGGTGCGACATGCCCGTCAAAACGAAAGCACTGGCGCCCACGGATCCGGCCAGTGGCCTGGCCAAACGAACACGCCACCCTCGAAGACAAGTAGCATCCCTGAGAGGGTTCAGTGGACGCAATGCTCCGGATATCGTCTCTGTCAATTGGACAGGCGAGGCACCAGATACTCCCTCCAAAGATTCAAGCCGGCGAGGTGCCCGTCCGTTCTCCTCAGGAGCAGGGACTGTTGTCGAAGTCGGACTGCCGGGCGCGACTGCAAATTTGCCGGACGCATGCCTCCACAGCAAAGACGGCAACATTGAGCAGCAACTTGTTCTGCTTCGCTCGGCCCTCACACAGGTGAACAAGCGACCACTAAAAAGCAACTCATGGATCATGCGCAGACAGCCAAGATTTTCGCGCAGCCGTTGCCGTCGCACCGGTACATTTGCATTGTGAAATAAATGTCTAAGCCAAGATCTGCTCAATCGTTCGAGGGACTGCCTGAGGTAGGATGAGTGCTAGCCGTCAGACACGCAAGCAGCAGCTGCAGTTGGCCACCTGAAAGTCTTTGTGCCCTCGGGTGCCCGGGCGTGCTACCCGTCGAAAGCGTACCTGTCCCTAATACTTAATGATTTAATATTCACATATTATATTCACTAATGGTCCGGGCAGGGGTTCCGGATGTCCAGACACATTTGCCAGGCCCGGGTACACGAACAGCTGCTATTGAGCCATCTCGATGTGTATCACTGGAACTGCCGTAAGATGCGGCCTGACTGGAACTGAGCTAATATCTGTCCTACAGCGACTTGCCGATTCAAACTGTCGTGCATTAAAAAGAGTAGCCTGAGTGAAGGGTTTGTCAGTGATGCTCTGCTGTCCTCAGTTAAGGCCGCTCTGGCCCAGTCGTCCACTTATCATCAAAGGCAATCTGGGAAAACGCCTGCACCTTTGCGCGAACACAAGCCAGGTGCCGACTTCTGGAGCCTTTGACTCGCTGCGGGTCCGGCTCTCATTGGGGCCTGACAGCTTGCATCTGCGGAACCTGACAGCTCCGAACACGACAAGGAACGGGCTTGATGGGAGAGAAGGAGGCAGTCATGTGAACGAGTCATGCCGGCCCCAAGTCATGATCGAAGAGACCGGGGCAGCGCAGCTGCCAGCAGCTATGGAATCCATTGGAAGCGCGATTTGCTCACCTGCCACGGCATCTCAGCATGCACTTTTGGAGAGGAAGGTCGCATCCCAACTCAGATATTCTAACATCACACCCGGTCCTGTTGCGGTTGCTCTGCTGCATGCTGCAGTTGCAGCAGTAGCTGGCCAATCTGTGGCCTCGCTGCAGCCTCCGAACACGGGCTGCAAAGGCATACATAGTGTGTAAGGAGAGTGTGCTGTGTCTTGCTGCATCTGTCTGTTGTAAGGAAATGAAAAATGAAGGAAGTTTCCGTGGCCAGAGTCTGCCACACTCTGTCCTTGTAGTAATGCGACTTCTGGATGCCATGCGTCCCTTGGGAGGCCTCGTACTGCAGTGCGTAGGCAATCACAGACTTGATGCGAGCCTGCACCAAAGCTCGGCTTTTGCGGGTCACTCTTGGGGCAGCTTTCGCCATGTTAGAGTTGTTTGGCACAGGATGCATGGTCGTGAACCAAGACGGAGACATTAAATTTCAATCACCCGTGTCCTCCATATTGTCGGGCAGGGGCGGAGGCAGCTGCTGCACAAGCAGCATGTTCAGGATCTGCTGAACATTACCTCGGGACCACTTCAACTAAGGCCCAGTTGTCGTTATCTTTGAGTAATTGACTTTTTCAATACTCTGTGCAGCCGAGTGGCTGCATTCTGCGTACGGCTGACATTGGCCGAAGATCTCTAGCAGAATGCAGGCTGAGGACCTCGGTATGCGCTGATCTTGTCGTGGATGCACACATCACCATTCGCAAGACGCGCAGTGTCTTCGTCATGCTGTCATTCAAGCCTTCTCCACACACACACACACACACACACCCTGCTCGCAAGGTTCACTTAGCCAGTGGCCAAACGTCGGTTTTCCTGAGATTGTCCACAGAGCAGTGCACGCTGGACCCTCCTGCTGCCATTTTACACGGAACCGATTGGTTCGTGTGGACTGCTCTGGCGATAGCGGGGCGTTAGTCGGGTGGTCAGCTCCCTCCCTAGCTGCTGCCTAGCGGCTCAGTTTGCGCGCCCAGCTGCTCGTCAAAGCATTCTGGCGCCATGTACCTTCCATGTCGGATCTACAGCCGGCTTCGCTTTGCCAGGACAAAATTATTACCAACTGATTCAGTCATGGTGGAGATTCAGGTCACTGGAATATGGGGCTGAAGGCGGGTGCAACAACCCCACACTAA